GGGTCCGTACAATGTGGAGACCAAAATTTGGGGTTAAACCGAAAATTAATGCCTAAAAAGAAATTTTTTTTTTAAAATACTGAAACGCACTATTCTAATATATAGAACAACGGTGACTTCCATCCGAGCCAGCAATGGGGGCGGCCACAGAGCAGAGGTTTAAGAGAGAAGATCGCAGTCGAATCCGACACGGTCCCCATTTCTCTAATTGGCAGGTATCCTTTCTTCTTCTCTTTCCCCTTTCAATATCCTGTATTTCAATCCTTTGCTGAGATATCATTATTGCTGAAAAGAAATTTTTTATAGAATCCCATGATTTCAGGGACTGACTGAAACAACCCACATAAAAACGCTACTCTAATTCTAATCAATTTTTGATCATCAGGTTCTAATTGGACCTAATGACTGGGAAGACTATTCGGAGGGGAAAGAAGGGGTGGCTAGATACAGGCTTCACAATCTCCCCAAGTGTTCATCTCCGGGTCTGTATGAGCTTGGTGTTGCTGTATATCCTAGTGAATTGGGTCGTGACATTGGCAAGCTAAAATCCAAGAAAATTGTTGTGGTTTACGTGGGTCAAGCCGACGATGTCAGGACAAGGCTTCAGCAGTATGGCCGCTCAGGTGCTCATTTGGGCAGAATTGGCTGTCCCCAGAACCAGAATGGAGATTGTGGGTATTTTGCTGATATATTCTCGAAGGGTTATTCCATTGTCTTCAGATGGGTTCCTGTAAGTACATATATGATTTATCCTTTCAGTGTTTGATGATCTGGCGTTGCTGGTTACTTTGTAATTTTTACATGTTTAACATACAATGCAATTTCACAAAATTACATAAAAATATGCTAAATAAATGCAGGCTTTCGCTATCCTATGTTTAGTTGTGGGTCCAAATTACAAACATCACATCTGTATTGTTCGGGTGCTCGTGAATTTTCTAGTTTAAATTCCTTTAAAATGCCCATATTAAAATTTGAAGTTCTTGTTTATATTTATGCATATATTCAATTAGCCCATGTACAGGATTTTACCAGCAAAAACTGTTAGTTGCATTCATGTAATCTATATTTCTATCATATGTTGTGAATATTAATGTTCCGCAGGGTTAAGCTGGCAAGAATTCGTGAAGATCATTAATTCTAATGGGACTGTGCTTTTTTTTTTTTCCTTTCTTTTTTTTTTTTTTTTTTTTTTACATCTGAATGGGCTATACAATAAGGGATAGCCCTCCCCTTTCCCTAAATCCCTTCCCACCCAACTCAAGGTTTGAACTTGATATCTCCAATTTGGAATCTCAAGCTCTTAACCATTGAGCCACCCCATTGGGGTTCTAATGGGACTGTGTTAGTAATAATGTTGTGAATGTGAATCTTTCCATAGGGTATATAGATTTGCAAGTCAACCAAGGGTGAGGAAGTATACTTTCTTCATAATGTTTTTGTAAGCCTTCATAGCTTCATCTGGATCACAGATATGTCTAATTGAATCAGTGCTCATTCAACATATCTGATATTTATTCTTTACTTTAGTCAAGTTTCTGCTAGAGGATCTGAGAAGGAAAAATTCAAACCAGCATTGCATTCATCATCATCCCTATCATATAGACAACAACAAAGATAGAATGAAGCTTGAAATGTGTTTTCTGTTATTTAATTGCAAAACATTCTTATTTATTTTACCAATCTGCATTCACGAAAAATGTATATAAGGGTGAGTGGTGCTTTGTAGTTGATTCATGCATAAGTGCAGATAGAGAGAAGCATTGTTGTCTGCAACTTTGTCTTCTGAATTCTGTGATTTTAATTTCCTATATCCAATTTTCGTTTCTTGAGTAGCTGGAAATTCAAAGATGTTTATAAGGGTGAGTGATGCTTTGTAGTTGGTTCATGCATAATTGCAGATAAAGAGAAGCATTGTTGCTTGCAACTTTGGTTTCTGAATTCTGTTTTTTTAATTTCTTGAGTAGTTCAAAAACAAGGCTGATGCTCAGAGAACAGAAGCTGAAATTCTCAATAGATTTGATTATGCATGGAATAAAGGTTGTAATGGTTCACGCCGCCCTGAAGATATCCTTAAGAAACTTGATGAAGTTGCTTCTGGTAGGAGTAGTCTACTGACAAATATTGTCAAGATTCTACCTTGCCATCAAAAGCTGGAGGGCATCAAAATCAAAACAAGCAAGCCACTTTCTTTGGACCATGAGTTCAATACTTATGCTGATGAAAAGATCTATAATTTCCTGTCACAAATTTTGAAGTTTAGCAGATCACAGCCCAGACTAGTTACGAGTGAATCAGATACTAATAAGGATGACACTGTAATTTGTGGAGTGATATTAAGCAATGGTTCCATCTGTAGTAGTTCACCAGTTGAAGGAAGAAAGAGATGTGCAGAACACAAGGGAATGAAGACTAAAGAGCTCATTCTGACAAGGAATACTGGAACAAAATCACAGATGTGTAATGCATGCTCAGAATCCATTGCTCTTAGTGACACAGAATCTGATGGTTGTGGAGAACAAAGTTCCATCTTTAACCCGACAAACCTTCCGTTGGCTTTGGGTGATTATCCTGAAAGCAAGGTGTCCAGTCATCCTATCTGTGGATTTATATTTGATGATGGCTCTCCTTGTATAAGGCATCCAACGAAAGGGAGAAAAAGGTGTGATGAGCACAAAGGGAGGAAGATTGGTGATTCCAAGTCTAGGGCAGCAACAGATAGAAAATTGCAATATGTGAATGATGCTGTTTCAGAATCTAGTATCAATGAGAAAACTTCAGAAATATGTATACCTGAACATGTTGTCAATGAGAGCTGTGATGCCATCTGTGGGGTGGAATTAGGCAATGGCTTTGTTTGCATGAGGCAACCTGTTAGGGGCCGAATTCGCTGTGAGGAGCATAGAGGATTGAAAATTACTGGGCTTGTCTCTAATTTAACTGCAACAAACAAACCCCGTGTATCTGACATGGGATCAGAATGCAGTGGTATTTATGACCCAAATTATAGCAGTACCACCATCTGTGGAGCAACTACTTGTAATGGTTCTCTCTGCAGCAGGTCTGTTAAGGGAAAAATCAGGTGTTGGCAGCACTCTGTTGCAACGAACAAATCCTATGTGTCTGACATGGAATCAAAATGCAGTGCTACTTATGACCAGAATTATAGCCATAACTCCATCTGCGGGGCAACCACTCGGAATGGTTCTCTCTGCAGCAGGCCAGTTACGGGAAACCGCAGGTGTTGGCAGCATTGTGTTGCAATGAACAAATCCTATGTGTCTTACATAGAATCCAAATGCAGTGCTACTTATGACCATAATTATAACAGTACTTCCTCCATCTGTGGAGCAACCACTCGTAACGGTTCTCTCTGCAGAAGGCCAGTTAAGGGAAACAGAAGATGCTGGCAGCACTAACTTATATGACAGCCTCACGCACTAACTTATATGACAGCCTCACGCACTAACTTATATGACAGCCTCACGCACTATGGCTTTCCAATTTCTTTCACATAACATATTTAGGCCACAATAGGAGAAAACTCACAGCTTCTACATTTTTTAGAAGACACTATGTTTGCTGTGTTATATTCTATTTGTGTAACTCATGTTGTGTATTATGCTGTAGCTCTTTAGTGGTTTTTCTCCAGAATCTCTTTCACATGTGAATGTGAAGTAGTTGTCCTTCAAAACTGTTTGGTTTCATACTTTCATTTCAGACTCAAGAATAAGGTTACATTGTGAAGCTTGTTTTATGAGGAATTTTTTTTGAAAAAAGCTGACATAGTCGTGGTGAAATTGCTTTTGTTTAGATGCTTGTAATGTTCCCAGCGTGATAACGGTTGTGTACTCCCATAATAAAATTCTTACGGATAAAAAGAGAGACTCGGTAAATTTTACAATTTTGAATGCACTAGCTTTTATATATATATAGATATATATATATATATATATATTACAAAAAGAGGTACTCTTTTTTTTTAATTTATTTAATTTAT